CTCTGGCCATCGCTGCCCAGCCTTGGGCAGCCTTTCCTCCCTCCTGGGTCACTGCACTAACACCACTAGAACACTCGGAAAATGAGCTGAGCAAATGTGCAGACCCCTCAGCACAGAGTCCCAGGCCACGGCTGTCAGAGCAAGGTGGGGAGTGAATTGCAGGGCCTGTGGCACTATAGGGGAACATGAGTCATCTGGGCCAGAGCACCGCCTTACAGATGAAGAAACTGAGACCCACAGATGGTAGCAAACACCCGACATTGTGCAAGTGGACGAGGACAGAGCTCGAGCTGATGGCCAGAATGCTGTCTGTCCACTGCTTAGCCGTGACCTTGAGGAAAGAAAGAAGAAGATTAAAAGGTGGGGTTTCAAGTGATTGATCCAACACCCACAAGAACCCGGGCAGGACTCTGGTTCTCGGCAGACAGTGGGGAGTCTGGTCGGCCTTCCCCACCCCACTGCCTCCCTCAAGAGACGCATCTGCACCCTCAGGTACAAATTGGTGGCAACCTCTCCAGGACACCACACTCGAACCCTTCGGATTTTATGAAGATTTCACGAAGTATAGAGCCACTTCGTATAGAGTGAAACAAGTTTAAAATGTTCAAGTCTGTTATATTTTTGAGCCTACATAATACAAGGTGGATTTTGAAAGTGCATTTAGAGAGCCCGTCCATCCTGGCTTGCCCACACCATCCTCATCTATGCCTGTTGTCCCAGGGATATGACGTGTGCCCCGCATCACTTTCAAAAGTTCCCAGGTTAGAAGATACATTGTACAGCCACCCTGGGCAAAGATCTAAGGAACAATAAATGAGACGGGCATAGTTAATTGGTCACAAAAAGTAAGGGACCAGAGAACAAATAGTGGTTTCAGGCTCTCAAATTTTTGGAGGAAAAAAATGATATTTCACCACAGCGAGAGCTTGACTTTAACAGGCTACAGTGAAAAAGGACGGGCTCCAACCCTGGCTGCAGGCTGGGGCTCAGCAGTGTGGGTGCTTGCCAGTGGATCTTCAACTGAGGACGAGATAATGGAGTTGGGGGGTGAAATGTCAAGAATGGCAGGGAACAGATAAGGAGAGACCCATTTCCCCTATCTCACACAGGAGAGACACCCCCAACCTAAAGCTGGGAAGACTCCCTCTTATTTGAATAATTACACGAGAGGAACTGCACAAGATTCACAAGTGTCAATCACATTTTCCATACATTATAAAATGTCACTTCTGCTGAAAGAGTGCCACGAAAAACAGGACTCTGCTGCAACTGCAAATTAAAAATGCAGAGTGAGCGACCTGTCCACCGGACACTGCCAAAGATAAATGTGTCAGAACTAAAACCACGACTGGGTCTCCAACCATCCCCCCTCAGCAAAAGAGACACCAAAAGAAAGGAAAGATCTTGAACAATGAGGTTCTTTCTAGAACCGATTAAAGAAAAAATCTGGTGGGCTGGGGGGGGGGAGGGTTGATATACATGCTCTTAAGAAAAGAGATTTTTTTTTAAGTGTAAATTTAATAAGGCGAAAGGAGAGAGACAAATAGGCAGGCCTAGCTTTAGAGGCTGCACCAAAAAGCTTGGGAAGACAGAAAACCAAATGCATGTATGAATTTTTATTAAAATTTACCATCCAAAACAACCAACTGTAACACATTTCTGAAAGAATGAGAGAAATTGATTACAGACTAGTAAATGTGGCAGCGGCACTGGGTTGTGTTTATAATGTTCCCATGCTTTAGACATGCATACTTGAACATCGGGGGTGAAACAACAGGTCTGCCATTTGCTTTGGAAAATGCCCACAAAGAGAAACAAGAAAGGGGTATATTCAAAGCAAATGTGGAAAACCTTGACGATTGTTGAAGCTTGGTAATGGATAAATGGGAGAGTACTGTACTACTCACTCCGCTTTTGTGTTTTTAAAATTATTTCACAATAGAAACTCAAGTGTTACATTTTGAGGGTTCACAATAACAATTCACAAAACAAAAACATATTTTATCAGACTAACACATTACAGTGGAGTGTTGCATAACTCATGAAGAATAAGCCCAAGTGGCACTGTTAAAACTTCTAACATGGAAACTAGAAGTTAAAAAAATAATTCTGCTTCTTAAAACCTTATAGCTTTTAGGAATTGAGGTTTTTATATATTTTTTTTCTTACACACTTACTTAGATTCTTCCTCAAGGTTTATAACAGACCCAAGGGAGAGGCTGCACAAATACCCAGCCCTGTTGCTATGGGCTCCAGCCCCAGCAGCTTCACTATTGGGAGAACTGGTCATACCTTCATGAGACAATGAGGGGGGAGGGTGCCCCAGGAGTTAAATGGCACTAGAAACCACAAAAAGTTGTTATTCTTAAAGTCACTATCCTGTTGATACAACCGCCAAGCAAATCTTAGATGTCACAAAGGTTACTTTGTAGCAAATCTGCAAGGAATGGAAACACTCAGGAGTTTGAACATAGCAAAACCAAAAGAAACAATTCCTTGGAGCAAGCAATCACTTAGACACAGTAAGACCTTTAAGTCTTCAAGTGGCTAAAAACAAAACAAAACCCAAATCTAAAAAACTAATTTGTTCATCTATGAAGGCTTAGGGTCACTGTTGAAATCACCCATCCTAAACCACTAACTCTTTCATATAGTTCAAAAAGAGAAGAAATAGTATCATTCCTAACTTTAGATATGAATTCACATATGTAACAGTATTTACTTATATAGGCATAATGTAGAGCTTTTGTGAACTATGTTTTTAAATTAATCTACTTAGTTGCTTAATAAGTCCATTACAGTTGGAAGCAGCAAAACTATTTGTAATTTTTCTACAATTCAAATGTCTTTTCATTATTCTAAATTAGGAAATATAATATTAAAAATAGTTTCGATGAAGAGACTCTACTCCAAAATTCCTTTTAAACAAAATTAAAAGCCTTAGTGTGTAGAATAAAATTGAACCATTCCACACCTTATAATTACAGCACACTCACACAACCTGAAACTTGGGTTCATTCCCATCCTGCCATTAGCTAAGAATTCTACAGACACATTTATTTTTTCAACCAAAGCTCTCCCGTTCCAGGAGGCTTCTCCCCACCAGGCCAACCCCACAACAACAATCTTCAAAAAGCAGCTAGTGACCAGAAATGGGCCTGGACTAAAGCATTTTTAAAAATGAAATAGACAACATCCCAGTGCGTGCACACAGTGGGCCAATAAGCATAAGTGTTGCTTCCTGAAACCCTGGTATCAGTTACAGGTAGGCAGGCTGGCACTGGTCTAGTCTATCCCCAACAGGTATCTCTTACTGTGGGTCAAGGTCAAAAGAGACTGAGAGCCTCTTCCCTACTCAGGCACACTACCCTGATGCTGGCTGGCTTCGAAACCTGGGCAAAGGTAAAGGTCTTAACCTCTCTGGGGCTCTACTGTCTGTCTTCATAATGAAAGGCCACCACTACCTTTGGCGAGCTGAATGCATTAAATAACACATAAGACACAACATAAAATCTTGACCTTCCTCATGCTTCTTCACTTTTCTTGGGCCTCCAACTTTTAAACTGATAATCTGAAAAAATGCACAGTGTTGTGGCTAACATTTGTAGGGTTCCTTTACAAGGATGAGCTGGAAGATTCTCAAACACAGCAAAGGGTTGCTCTGTCCATTTCACAGGTGTGTGTGGGGGGTTGGCCACAAAGCGTCCCTGGAGGCCAACATCTGCCCCCGGGCTGTGGCATCTCTCAGGTGCAGGGTTAAAACCATTTTCCAATCAAACTGGTGAGAGCCCTGATGGGTTTAATAGTTGGGCAGGCTTAGCCCTGGAGAAGTGGCGTCTGAAAAAAGACAGAATTCACAAGGAACAACAGAGCCCTGAACAGACACACAGCTGGGGTCCACCGTCAAGGGACCAAGGGGAGCAGGTCCCGAGCAGGGTAGGCTGGACCAGGAATGTGGACCACTTAGAACCGGGCCAGGTAAACAGGCAGGGAGCCCGGCAGGGCCTGCGGCCAGCGCAGCGCGGCTGCTGCAGCCTGCGGACAAAGGGGCGCAGGCAGTGCCCGTCCGAGTGGCCGGCCGGGAAATTTAGGAGCCACGTGCCTGGCGGGAGAAGGCGAAAAAGCATTAGAACACTTGACTGTTTCCTAGGCCCAGCAAGGAAACTGCCTTCTGCTCTGCATTTAAAAGGAAAGAGAATGTGTTACTGCTTAAGTTTCTCAGAACTTTTCCAAAGAAAGAGAGGCTGGCTGGTAAGAAGGGGTGCTAAAGAGATCAACACATCTCCTACCTCTTCTAGTAAATTGTAAAAGGCAATTAGCACTTGAATAAGGAAGACGGCGTGTCTGGAATGAAAACCAGACGCACACGCAGTTTCAGGGTTTCAGGGAGCCGCTTCCTATCCCTTTCAGTCTACAGTCCTAACTACCGACAGGAATTGGCCAAAATTCAGCATTTCCAGACTTTCCTTCAGAAAACGGGCCGAAGAAGTGCTGGCAAAAAGAAAAACGAAACTGAGCGCGCCCCAGGCTCGCCGCCCCAGGCTCGGCTCGGTGCCGGCGCAGCAGCCTCCTCTCCTCGCCCGCCCCGAGCTCGCGCCCCCAACCGCGCCTGGATCCGTCGGTGCCCAGTGTCGGCCGGGCCGGGGCCCCGTCCCCGCCCGGCGCCGCGAGCCGCGGGGCAGCCAGGCCGAGCAGCGCCGGCGTGGGGCGAGCGGGCGCTCCGGCTCGGCCTACACCGCGGCGGCCGCCCCTCCGCGCCGGGCGACGGACGCGGGGCGGAAGGCCAGGCCGCGCGGCGCCCGACGACTGCGGGGCGAGGAGGCTGGCTCGCGCCCGCCGCGGGCCAAGAGCGGCCGGCCGGCCCCGCGCCGCTGCCCCGACCCCCGCCCGCCCGCGCCCCCGCCCGCCGCCCGCGCCGCGCTCGCGCCGGGCCGCCAACCGCCCGGCGCGCGGGAGGAGCGCGCGAGCGGCCCGGCCGGCGCCCGAGCGCGAGGACTCACCGGGGCTGGCTCCCGAGTACATGGTGGCGCCGCCGAGGGGCTCCGGGGCGAGGCGCGCGGCGCGAGGAGCCGCCGGCCGCACGATCCGCCCCGGTGCGGCAGCCTTGCCAAACAGGTTTACCCGACGCGGCCGGGGCGGCGGCGGAGGCGGCGGCGCGGCGGGCGGAGCGGAGGGAGAGGAGGGAGAGGGCGAGGGAGGAGGAAGGAGAGCAGGAGGGAGCGGAGGAGAGGAGCGGAGGGAGGCGGGCGGGAGGGGCGCGGGCGCACGCCGCCGGGGGGCGCGGCGCGCGCGCGGCGCGGCTGGCGGCCGCGGTGGCGAGACCAGGGCGGGGACGCGGGAGCAGAGCCGGGGAAAGACTGCGACTCGCCGGGCGGGGGAAGCTGGGGGCGGGGGGCGGGGACCGGGGGTGGCGCGGCACCGGGGGCCCCTTCGCAGCCTCTCAGAAAAGACAGGTCCCTGCCACCGCGCGGGAGCGGGCCGGCCTGGCCCGGGAGGAAGGACCCCACAGCCCGGCGTCCCCGCCACCCCGGCGCGCGCGGGGCGCCCGTTCCGCAGCCTCGCCCCTTCCCCGGCGGGCCGGACTGGGCGTCGCGCCCGCGTGGGGCTGAGGTCCGCGCTGGCCGCGGCATCTCAGCCTGGCTCTTTAAGTTATTAACGAAACATGAATGTCGGGAAGCCTCCTCCCGACACGGAGCTTGAACTTGAACGCGTCCCGGCCCCTAGCACACGACCACACTGCCACCTCCCGGCGCGGCCGGGGAACCCAGATAATTCCTTACAGCACTTTAAAAGTATAGTAAGTTTCTAGGCAATTTTAGCTGCTGTAGGTGATCGGACGGAGCTGACACGCCCCCACCCAGCAGCCAGGGCGCCCCAGATGCCTTCCTCTGGAGGCCTCACCGGGCCGTCGTGCTCCTGCGTTTCTGCTGTCCCACTTGTTGCTGGAATGTTCCTCCTACCCAAATCCTCCTCATCCTCCAAGTTCCCCTGGCTCCACCTGGTTTGGGGAGGCTTTTCGGAGGAAGCCAGCCAGTGGTTACTCCCTTTCTTCCCTAATTGCTGGGTGATTAAAAGACAGAAGGTAAAACAACACCCAGAGTTGCTCATGGACTTCTCACAGGTCTGCCTGTTCATTCCTTCATCCCTCAAACCCGGACTGTCCGCATACTGGGTGCAAGGCCCTGTGTTCTGGGCAGGGGCAAAAGACAACTGGAGTCCTGCCTGCCCGGACTGGGCACACAACAGGCTTGTCACCAGTTCTCCGCAGTCTTGGCGGACGGCCCTGAAGACTCAACAGGACACCGGCCTTCATCCCGTGCTGTCTGGCAGCGCAGGCCTGGGCTGGAGTGCACACAGCTGTCTTCCTCACAGCCAGGCCCAGACCCCTGCGTGCGCTCGGCAGCAGGACGGAGAGACAGAGCATGGCATGTTCGTCAGTGGAATCTAGGCCTGGGAATGAGCAAACTGCAGCCAAGTGCAACAGTGTGAGTGAATGTCAACAAACAGGGTTGAGTGAAAGAAACCATAACCCATGCCACGTGATTGCATTTACAACAGTCCCCAAACTGGCGGATAAAGCTGCACTGTTCAAGATGCATCATTAAGTAGTGAAGACTGACAGGAAAGCAGGGAAGTGGTCCCCATAAGGGTGAGAACGGTGGACACAGGCTGGTGTGGAGGGACTGTGACCACAGCAGGTACCTTCCCGTGACACTGCTGTTCAATTTGCCACCATCCCTTAAGTTGCGCGTTTACGTTTTATACACTTGTTTGTGCCTTTGCTACAGTACTCCACAGTAAGGAGATCTTTAAATGGCATGAATGTTGTCACTGTCCATTTTAGGAAACACACCCCCCACAAATCTCCCACCTCCCAGATGCCCACGCCGCCTGTGTCCCCCACGCGCAGCAGCAGCTGTGCCCCGGTCCCCGGCGGCCCGACCAGGCGACCCGGAGGCTCTGCCGCGGCTGCCCCAGCCGGCCTCGGGCGCTGCGCGGCGGGCGCGGTGCTGGGAACTTTGTTGCAAGGATTCCTTTCCAGAAGGTCCCGCAAGATAATGTCTCACAAGCACTTCATTGTGTCGCTTGTCTTCTCGGGCTTGACACGAGCGGCCCCTGCTGGCGAAGGGACGCCATCGCCGCCCGCCAAAGCCCGGCTCCCTCCCGCCCAGGGGCCCCAGTTTCCCGGCCCTTTTCCTAGACCAGCCGGTACTCCACCGCCTCACCCTCCCCGGCCTGTGCTCAGGAATCCAGCCCCACCTCCTACCCTGCGGGAGAACTCCTGGCCCCTAGCGTCGCACTAAGACTAGCACCTCCCCCTGCCCTCCCTGCTGTGTCCCCCCAGCATGGCCAACGGAGAGGCCACCAGCCATGAAGCGTAAAACCCCAGTCCCCTGTGCCCTCTGCCCCTCCCGCAGCCGCTGAGCCCGTCTAATCCACTTGACTGAACCTCAGTTCTCCGCGTGAGAAGCCTCTGGAACCCTCTCTGACCCTGGCTGCTCTGCCCTCCTGGCTGGTCCAGAGCTCAGATGTCACAGCGAAGGACCCAACGGGGTGCTCGGGCTGCAGTGTTCCTCCCCGATGTTATGCAGGGCTGCAAACACCGCCATGCAGCCTGGTCCGCAGCTCTGTACCGGTGCACCCCACCCAAAGCCAAAACACCCCAGGAACGGGAAAGAGGAGGCTGAAGAACAAGCACAAAGACGCTCCTGAGGTCACAGGGCCTACAGAGTTCTCAAGTGTGTGTGTGGGGGGGCTCTTAGTTTCTTCCAGACTAAACTGCAGGCACTGGAATAAATCGGTCCTTCCCCATACACACTCTGCACGTGATTAAAGAAGGGTCACAGCAGCAAGTAAATGTGAACCACAGATCCCAACAACACTAAATGGTTTACTGACTGCAGGCCTTCTCAGAGCCTTTAACATGGAGAATCATTCTTCTGCAGAGGAAGGAGGGAAAGGGACAGTTTGCATCCTGTCCCAAACCCATTCTTTTACAAGGTATCTTGAGGTTTCCTGGAGCACACTTTGAGAAACATGGAGTTAGTTCTTCTATGACTCCTTCCATCTCTGATGTTTTAAGATTCTTTGAATGAAAATATTGCTTTTTGTATTTTTTTTTTTTTAATAAAAACTAGGCCCCTGGGCATGGTGGCACATGGCTGTAGTCCTAGCTACTCTGGAGGCTGAGGTGGGAGGATCCCTTGAACCCAGGAGTTGCAGATGTAGCCTGGGCAATATAGTGAGACCTCATCTTAAAAAACAAATTAAAAAATTAATTTAAAAAACCAGGAACTAAGTAGCTGAATTGCTCCATAACTAAGGCAACTGTGGTCCAAGACTTCACACATAACATCCCAAAGTGCAACTACCTACCAGAAGAAAAGTGTTGTGCAGATCGCATCCTTACTACTGTCCCTTTATTCCTGGGGTGATAGAACCAGTCTAAAGATACACAGCCTCAGCCGTCCCACTGCAGGGTGGCTGAAGGCCAGGCACATTCAGGGATGGGAGCTGAGAAAAGCAGGGGGGAACCCTCATCCATCCCGTTCTCACAGAGCGAGAAGAGCTGAGCAGACAGGCCATAGAGGGGACTGCATGGTGTCATGATGACACAGTGACAATGACCTCTTTAAACTCTGCCACCGCCATTCTCTGCTGGGACTGCTGACCTGGCCCACTTGGCATGATGGGGCAGAAGCACCCGCAGGCGGCATTCCCTGGTCTGAGGAGCGCGTCTGAGTACTGGCTACACCTGCCACGGCTTCAGGTGACCGTTTCCAGGCAAGGAGTGGTCCTTTTTGGTTCTGTGAATTGTTTTATCTAAAACTACATTTTTCTTTTAGTCTGACACCCTTAACTTAAAGCCCATTACATTTCATTCAGAATCCAGTTTCACTTCAAAGGACCATGGATCTCACCTGCAAGGTGTGGCACCTCTATCTCCCTTTGTCCCACAGCCTGAGGACAGCCAGGGTCTCCAAGCACACTGTGAGGACCGCTCCTGGAGTTTGTGCCAAATGCCATACAGTTCATGTTGCATTGCCAATAGTTATAAACTCATCCAAATGCATATTCTCCGCTGGTTGCGGTGGCTCACGCCTATAATCCCAGCACTTTGGGAGGCCAAGGCAAGAGGATCGCTTGAGGCCAAGAGTGCCAGGCTGCAGTGAGCTGTGATCTCACCACTGCACCCAGCCTGGGCGACAGAGTGAGACCCGGTGATATAGACTGGATACTTAACCCCTCCCAGACTCATGTTGAAATTCCAGCCCCAGTGTTGGAGGTGGGGCCCAGTGAGAGGTGTTTGGGTAACAGAAAGAGGGTGGAAAGGATCCCTCATGATGGCCTGGTGCCCTCCAGGGATGATGAGTGAGTTCTCACTTTCTTAGTTCATGAGAGAGCTGGCTGAAAGATAGCTTTAATTTATCTCTTTTAACTCCAGAAACATTACGAATTGAATACACCACACGTGCACACAGCTCCCAAGAACTTTAGAGAATGTGCATTAAAAAAAAATTTTTTTTTCTTTTTTCTTTTCTTAGAGACCGAGTATGTTAGCCTACTTTGTGTTGCTATAAAGGAAATACCTGAGACTGGGTAATTTATAGGCAAAGAGGTGTATTTGGCTCACAGTTCTGCAGGCTGTACAAGAAGCGCGGTGCACCAGCACCTGCTTCTGGTGAGGGCCTCAGGGGGCTTCCAATCGAGGCAGAAGCTGCAGGAGGACCAGGTGTCACACGGCAAGAGAGCGAGGAGGTGGTGCCAGGCTCCTTTAAACAACCAACTGGCACTGTGCACCTCTTCTGGCCCAAGTTCCAGTTCTAGGCACTGTGGGAGCATTTACTCATTCAAGCATCAAATACTGGAAGCATGTCAGATATCTGTAGCACAAGGGTAGTACAGATGGGAAACTGAGGAAGAGGGCTCACACAGCCAGGCTTTAAGCCCAGCAGCCTGGTCTAAAGAGCCATGCCAGCTACTTCTGGGGAGGCACGGGGACACCCCATACCCAGGGATTCTACGGTTGATCTCTGTGATCTTCTGACTCTAAGGTTCACTGGATGCACTCAGCATCAGCAGTCTTCAGTGTTGTTTCCACACCCTCCAAAAGA